TAAAAATAAGAGCTGAAACAATGATGACTGAAGCCAGACTTCATTCTGTATCCCAAAAGACCTGATCTGCCTAACTGTAGCAGCAGAATCCATGAGACCATATTTGACCAACAGGGCCCTTTTTCTTCATGCCCTTTTTCTCTTCCCAACCCCCTAATATTGACAGACAGATTGCTGAGTCATATCCTTTAAAAGGTATTAACACATGGCCAAAGGGGCCAGTAAAGTAGAATTAGCTTTTAGTAGAAGAGTCAGGCTCCAGTGTGGGCTAATATAATTAAGTGGAAGAAAGTATACAGATCAGCCATCATCTGCCTAATTCTGCTATTTTGTTCAAAGGCAGCATTTAAGGGCCTGGAGATGGGTTCAAATGACCAGGATTTACCTCCAAATTACATTGGGTTATTTTTATGATGGTGGTCTATTGTACATTCTATTGCCTTTCTTTGTAAATAGGTCCAGAGCACCACCGTTGGATGCTTACTTTCAAGTGAGCAGGAGCCAACCTTCTTTGCCAACTACTTCTCATGATTCAGGGGCTAGCAATCCTGTATCTGAAGACTTGCAGGTACCAAGTAGTTCTGATTCTGACAATGAAAGTTCCATAGAGTATGAAGAGGTGGTTGTGCAGGCAGAACCTGAAGCTGCCATTTTGGAAGGTGAGTGTTTATCCAGGTTTGGATTCACAAGGCTAATATATAGAAAGCTTAGACTCCAGCCTGGGTTGGTGTGGCTAAGTGGTTAGAGCATTGGCCCGTGTACCGAAGGGTCTCTAGTTCAATTCCCAGACACGGGTCTCTAGTTCAATTCCCAGTTAAGGGCACATACCTGGTTTGCAGTTTGCACCCCTGGCTCTGATCAGGGCACCTGTGGGAGGCAACAGATTGATGTTTCTCTCTGTCTCTCCCCCTCCTTCCTTTCCACACTCTCTAAAAATCAATGGAAAAAATACCCTCCAGAGAGGATTAACAAAAAATGCTCAGACTTCAAAAGGCTAGAGTTTCTGGATATGTGTTTTGATACTTTTTCTTTTTCCCCCGCAAATGCTATAGATTTCTGCTTTATATTGCAGCTTTCACTGGCCATAATTATATAGAGAGGATGTGATCTGACTTGCACTTTAATATGATTTGTGACCCAGTGAATCATTTATTTTGTAATCACATTTTATATTCTCTTTCATTTCCTTAGACATCTGAGAAGGAAGTAGATGTTTCTTTGTTTTTAAAGAAAAGCTTTGTAAATTTAGTGCACTATCTAGTCTTCTACTTTTTAAGTCCTAGTATAATGTTATGTATTGTGCAAGTGGAACTTTGTTTAGCAACTGGTGGGCAGAGACCCCAAAAACATAGGTCTTGCTTACATTTAAAGCCCTCTGATACCCCAAATTGTGGGCTTTTCCCACTAAATGGAACCAGGGCCTTTTGGAGAAATGGCTTTCCAGGTCTGGGATAGGAATCTCAAATATGAGTCTAGGGCAGTAGTTTTCAATCTTCCTAATGCCGCGACCCTTTAATATAGTTCCTCATGTTGTGGTGATCCCCAACTTCATTGTTACAAATTGAACATAATTAAAGCATAGTGATTAATCACAAAAACAATATGTAATTATATGTGTGTTTTCCGATGATCTTAGGCGACTCCTGTGAAAGGGTCGTTCGACCCCCAAAGAGGTCATGACCCACAGGTTGAGAACCACTGGTCTAAAGCATTTTATTAGGCTAGCAAGCAAGGAGACAATCTAAGTCTCAGAGAGATATGTCATAAGAACAACCTAGAAAGGGTTCTTAGTAACCTAAAATAAAATAGGACAGTTTGAGATATCAGAAAGAATAATGAGTGTGTATTTGGATTTAAATAGGTTGAAATGCATTAAATCTATGAAAATATATAAATTCATAATTATGTATTTTTTAAAAACCTTATTTATTACCCTGGACAGGTAGGTAGTTCAGTTGGTTGGAGTGTTGTCCCAATATACCAAGGTTGGCAGTTCCATCCCTGGTCAGGGCACATACAAGAATCAACCAATGAATGTATAAATAAGTGGGACAACAAATTGATGTTTCTCTCTCAAAAAAAAAATCAATAAAAACAAACTCGTTTATCAGTCATTTTATTTTAATAAATTATAAGAGCCCTAACTCATTAGTCTGAAAGCTGAAAAATAAAGGAGCAAACATTTATCCTACCTTTCCTTGTGTGAACTGTATTCAGTAAAACCAAATAAATGATGAATGAAGTTTTAGGGTTGTTGTTTTTAAAAACTTTCTTTTAGAGTAGTTTAAAAGAAAGGTTCACAACAAAACAGAGCAAGATACAGAGATTTCTCATATACTCTCTATCTCTGCACATGCATTGCCTGCCTCTCCATTATCAGCATCATTCACCAGAATGATGCATTTGTTTTACATCATAATTACCTGAAGTCCATAGTTTACTTTAGGGTTCACTTTTGGTGTTATACATTGTATGGGTTTGGACAACCATCATTATAATATACAGAGCATTTTCACTGCCCTTAAAACTCTGTCATTTTATCCCTCCCACCCATGCCAAAGAAAGATTTTTAAAATAGAATAATTACCACTCTAGCTGGTTTGGCTCAGTGGATAGAGCAAACCTGCAGACTGAAAGGTCCCAGGTTTGCCCAGGGTTATGGGATTGATCCCCAGTAGGGGGCGTGCAGGAGGCAGCTGATAAATGATTCTCTCTCTCATTGATGTTTCTATCTCTCTCCCTGTCCCTTCCTCTCTGGAATCAATTAAGATATATTTATAAATAAATAAATAGAAGAATTATCTAGTCATGGCAGAAATGATGGGGGCAGGGGTCATTCTGTGGCTCCTAAAGCAATGTATTCAGGTAAAGATCATCAGTGGATCCTAAAGTCATTAGGGTGAAAGGTTAATGGAATTCTTTTTATAGGGACCAAGCTAAAATCTCCAGAACTAATGTGCCTCTTGATATGCTATAGTCAGAAATATCCACACCGCTAAGAAGTATTGTTGCAAAACAAAAAACATGAATTTATTTAAGACTAGATATAATAACTAATTCACACAGTTTACAGAAAGGAGTAGAGGAACAAGGTAAGCAGTATCTCAAAGATGCAATCATTCAAATCTAAAATGTATGACATTTGGGACATCTACAAAAATACCTAAATGTATATGAAAATCTAGTTTTGTAAAGGGAAAATCTCAAATCAATGAGGATAAGAGACTTAAATTCTTGTTAAAACTGGATATCTAACTGAAAAACAATAAAGTAGATTCATTCCTTATACTATAAACCAGGATATAGTAAATGGATTGGAGATCTAAGGTAAAAAATGAAATCATTTTGGTATTAGAAAAGTATATGAGTGATAAAATCCAGGAGTAAGGAATACTTCAAAATCTAGAAGCAATCCAAGAAAAATTACATGAAAAATGCCTAAAAATTAAAAATCACCTTAATGAAGGTGTGAAAGATTGATGAAGACCCTGATAATTTAGGGGTCAGACTGATAACACCTTAACCCAATATGAGCCTCCTGATGTGCTATAATCAGAGATGCACAACCTAAGAAGTATCTTGCTGCCCCTCCTCTTACCCAAAAACCAGAATTGAATCTACTGAAGCCTCTGCATATGTCAGTTTATAGGAAATGTAAGCAGTGCCACAAGAAAACAGTCAAATCCAGGATGTAGCACTTTTTATAAGACAAGTGACCAAACTCCCCCATATATCAGTGACAAGGAGGGGATAAAAATGAGTAAAGGAAAATTGTAATGAAGGAAAAACAAAGACTTAGACATATAACAATCAAGCTCATTTTGGAAACCTTGTTTAAATCCTGGTTGGAATAAATTCACTGTAGTAAATACAGTTGGGAAATTTTGAATGAACTGAGTGCCTGGGTATTAAAGGATTAGTGTTAATTTTATGAGGTACAATAATAATGTTATGTAAAAGTAAATCCTTACCAGTTAGTGTTACAAAAGTTTTTACAAATGAAATGATATTTAAGAGTTTGTTATTAAGTATTCCAAAAGAAAATAGGGCTAAGCTGGAAGAAGATTATAAAAATAATTGATTATTTTGAAATGGGGTGATGGGTATCTATGGATAGTTAAGCTGTTTTGTCTATTTTTTATATATGTTAGAAAATATCTAAAATAAGTGGGAAATTCACTGATGCTGCTTGGGAAAAAATTCTTATCCCTTTTACACTAACACTACCAATTAGAAATGGTGAGTTCAGCCTCTCCTAGCCTCTGATACCTTATGACACATGTCTTCTTTTGTTATTACCTATTCTGCTATTTCTGGAAACAACTTGGCAGAACAACCAGGAGGTGTTTCAGCAGAGCAAGAAGTTATATGTAGTGGTGGAAGAGACACATTACCCAAGCAGGTAATACGAACTTTTTTTGAAATGAAAAGGAGACTGCAGGCTTTATAGGCACGAGATCTAGGAGTAGATTTTATCTAAGTTAGTTATTTGTGTAACTTCTTTCTCTTAGTTTTAAAAAAGGGTTAACAGGTGGGGGGTGAAGATGTGAGGGTAACTTGTCCTGCCTAACTAACAAAGTTAAGTATCAATTAATATATAGGAATGTAGTTTATGAACTATCTGGCAGAAGGTGATAACTATGTGATAAGCAATTTTTAATTTAAAAAATAACAAATTATTGTACTTAATATTTAAGTTATTTACATCAATTGTGGACTTGGCCAATCCCAAAACATCATTGATCTACTTTTTGCATATTTGTGTATGGTCTCTGTTTTTATTTCTTCCCTCTAGAAAAAAAAATTTATGTACATGTGAATTTATGTGTAAAAATATTTTAGATTTACCCAAATGGGATTATATTATGTCTTGTTTTTATTCTTTTTCCCATCAACAACATTTTGGAGAGCTTTCTATTAGCACATAAAGTTAAACCTTATTTTTATTAATTCCATCTAATAAAGAGGTGATATGCAAATTGACCATCACTTCAACACAAAGTGGCCACCCCCATGTGGTCAAAGATGGTCGGCCGGGAAGGGCAGTTGGGGGGGCCAGGCCAGCAGGGGAGGGCAGTTGGGGGTGATCAGGCCAGCAGGGGAGGGCAATTAGGGGCAATCAGGCTCGCAGGGGGGCAGTTGGGAGCCAGCAGTCCTGGATTGTGAGAGGGATGTCCCAGATTGGAGAGGGTACAGGCTGGGCTGAGGGACACACACCTTCCCTTCCCCTTCCCCAAGCACGAATTTTGTGCACCAGACCTCTAGTAACTTAATAACAGTGTTCCATCATATAAATAAAATTTTAGTTAACTCTTCCCTTGTCATGTATACTATGATCATTCCCTTTTCATTCTTTTTTGTTTATTTATATCCTCACTCAAGGATATACATATTATTTTAGAGGGCAAGCAGGGGTGGGGGCAGTGGGACTTGAGGGGTGACTTTGATGTAGGTGCCCTGACCATGAATCGAACCCGAAACCTTTCAGTATACAGGTTGATGCCCTAACCAACTGAGCCACACTGGCCAAAGGCTCTTCCTAATATAAATCATGCTGCACTGAACATCCTTGTAGAAATGTGTTGGCAGATTTTATGTCTGTATTCGTGACATATATTCCTAGCAGAGAGATTGCTATATCAAAGGAAAAAGATGTATTTTAGTTTTAATAGATAATGCCAAATTGCCCTCTGGAAAATTTGTGCCAACTTTCTACTTGCAGCAACAATATGTAAGCATGCCCGTTTATCCCTCACTCTCAACAGTGCTTGGTGTCATCAGACATTAATTTATACCACTTAATAGATTTAAAAATTTGCATATTTTTAAATTATAAGTAATCAAGTATTGACCATTTGTAATTTTTTATAAGCTGTTTGTAGTTTGTTTTTCTGGTATTTTTCTTTGATTCACAAGAACCAAGTACTTTATAACCACTTGAGTTGATTACGAAACCTTATTTTGGAAAAGTAACAAACTTACTGTTTCCTGTTGGTTATCTGGGTAACTGCTGGTGTGTGTGTGTGTGTGTGTGTGTGTGTGTGTCTTTGTAAAGATAGCCTTTTTCTTCATTTGAATGAAAAAAAAAATCCAAGAGTTTTTATAAGGTCAAAGGGTACTAATATTTTTGTGCTTTATGTTGGATTTGACTAGATTACATTCTAAAAAGAATGACAAGTGATTCATAGGTGTTGTAGTTTTTCTGCAATGTTTTCAGTTGGGTTTGTATCATTTTTGTGTGATTTTGTTCATTTGATAGTTGTGCATCCTCTTCAAGACTGATTTTGCATTTTCTCTCATTTGAATGTGTTCTGGTTTTCATCCAGCAGTCTCCCCAGAAGTGCAGTTCGCTGCTGCCTTCAGCTTCTACAGATGAGGAAGAAGAAGGGGACACTTGCACAATATGTTTAGAACAGTGGACTAATGCTGGGGATCACCGGCTTTCTGCTTTACGCTGTGGGCACCTCTTTGGGTTTAGGTGCATTTCTAAATGGCTCAAAGGACCGACACGAAAATGTCCCCAGGTAAGGACTGTAGATAGGGACTGTGCATGTGCACAGTCATGTTAAATCAGGAGGATTCCTGGAACTCGACTAATTGTGTCCTATTGGGCTCTTTAGTGCAACAAGAAAGCCAAGCACAGTGACATTGTTGTCCTTTATGCCCGAACCCTGAGAGCTTTGGACACTAGTGAACATGAGCGCATGAAAAGGTAGGTAAAAAGAACCTGCCTAGCTGGAATGTTCCCTTTTGGTTCCTTGTAGAAATAGGTTGTATGAGTCACTCTTAGTGTGATTCTGATGCTTTACTTGGGTTGTGACTGGGGATCTCTAGGGATTGCTAGCAGTCTGTCTCACATTGTGATTTATAATATATATCTGATCATCTTCTCAAAGAGGTCTGCATTGTTTGCTTTCCATACAGCATTAAAAATGAGGATTGAGATGACAAATAATTGTGGTTTCAGCTATACCTGAATTAGACTCCAATGAATTTTCAGTTATACAAGTCAATACATTGGTTTTTAATTTTAGTTTGCCAATTTAAAAAAGCTTCTATTTGCCCTGACCGGTTTGACTTGGTGGATAGAGCCTGCAGACTCAAGGGTCCCAGGTTCGATTCCAGTCAAGGACATGTACCTTGGTTGTGGGCACATACCCAGTAGGGAGTATGCAGGAGGCAGCTGATGGATGTTTCTCTCTCATCGATGTTTCTAACTCTCTGTCCCTCTCCCTTCCTCTCTGTAAAAAATCAATAAAAAATATATATATTTTTAAAAAGCTTCTATTCTTGTAATATACGGAGTACTAACCAGTGTTGCAAAGAGACATGAAAGGGCAGCAGGGAGAAGACTCTACCACTACTCCTTCTATGTGCTTGGCACCTCTTGTAAGCCTCTGCTTTCAGAGCCTGAGTGTTGTGTGTTAATTGGAACAGGTAGGTTCAGAAGGAATGGAGTAGCTATTCCTTCTGCAGGAGCACTTAGGTATTCCCATGAAATTGGAATCAACTCTAAGACTTCAGCCTTTGGTAAATATGACCTGTGGAGATCAAGACCATGGTGTCTTAAGCCCTCTTGAAATGAAAAGCCAGAGAGAAACATACAACTCTATAATACCTTATACCTGGCTTGGGCAGCACACCCAAGCAGAAAGATATTCTGGGTTTTTTGGTAGCCTGTCCAGATTCTAATCTAGGGATTAGATTTACTGCCCGTCTCTGTTGCCATTTTTTGCTTATGGTGTTCCTAAAACCTCCTACAGCAGCATCCTATACAGAAGACTCAAAAGTGAAGCTTATCACTGTAGTGCAATGAAAGAAATTGTTCTTGGAAGCCCAAGAACAGTCGCTAATAACACTTTAAAATATGCTTTAAGAATTATGAAAGAATAAAAATACCACCGAGAGTTCAGGGACATGGGTTCTCGGACACACTACCAGTAAGTAAGTACACAGGCACAACCATTTAGTTGTGCTTGCCAGTGTGCTTCAACAGTATGCTTTAAAAGTAATTCTAGCCCTAACTGGTTGGCTCAGTGGAGAGAGCGTCGGCCTGGGAATTGAAGAGTTCCAGGTTCAGTTCCAGTCAAGGGCACATGCCCGGGTTGTGGGCTTGATCCCCAGTCGGGGGCATGCAGGAGGCAGCCAATCAATGATTCTCTGTCATCATTGATGTTTCTATCTCTCTTCCTCTTCATTCCTCTCTGAAATCAATAAAAATACATTTTTAAAAAATTAAAAAAAATAATTCTACTTCAGGCATTTATTCTAAAACAATTAAGGATGTGTGGAAAGATTTACTTAATGAGTTTTTTCATTTAGCATTGTTAATCCAAGCCAAGAGAATTAGTTGAGCAAACTCTGGCATATCAATGTGATGGAATGCTATACCTTCATTAAAACTGCTATTGAAGTGGATATAATATGTTGTCATGTGAAAGTTCATTTTTTTTGTGAGCTAGAAAAATACTACAGATAGTCATTTGAGGAGTGGGATTACGGACGATTTTAATTTTCTTTGTTTTTTTCTTCTCATTCACTCCAACAAAAACTTAATTACAGCATTTTAAAATGGCAGTTGTATTACAGATACAATAAAAGCTTACTTGTGAATTAGGTTCTCCTTAATTCCATCCTTTTACCCAGAGCATAGATATGGATATATATATATATATATACACACACACACACACACACACACACACTCACACATATATGATTTAGGATGTTTTTACACTTTATGCAAATGCTACTGAGTTATAATTTTCTATCTGTAGCTTTTTTTTTCTTAATGTTATGTTTGATACATGTAACTCTAGTTTATTCATTTCAATTTCTGTATAGTATTTAGTTCTCTAGTTAGAATTTACTTATGTGTCTTTTGTGCTGGTGGATAATTAAGGTGGTTTCCAGTTTTTGTTAATAAAAGCGGTGAACCTATGACACGTGTGTCAGAGGTGACACGTGAACTCATTTTTTTGGTTGATTTTTCTTTGTTAAATGGCATTTAAATATATAAAATAAATATCAAAAATATAATAAGTCTTTGTTTTACTGTGGTTGCAAATATCAAAAAATTTGATACGGCACCAGAGTTAAGTTAGGGTTTTTCAAAATGCTGACACTCTGAGCTCAAAAGGTTCTCCACCACTGCTATAGAGAGTTGCTCAAGAGTTTCAGTCTAGAAATGGAATTGCGTAGGTTACATGTAATTTCAACTTTACTAGACCCTGTCAAATTGCTCTTCTAAGAAGCTGTTACCAGTCTGTACTTACATCAGCAACAGTATAAGATAGTTTTCATTATTTTCATGCCCCTACCTACTTTATATTATCAGACTTAATTTTTTTTAAAGTGTATTTTTATTTATTTCAGAGAGGAAGGTAGAGCGAGAGAGAGATAGAAACATCAATGATGAGAGAGTATTATTGATCAGCTGCCTCCTGCACACCCCCTACTGGGGATCAAGCCTTTAACCCGAGCATGTGCCCTTGACCAGAATCGAACCCGGGACCTTCCAGTCTGCAGTCCAGTGCTCTAGCCACTGAGCCAAACCAGCTAGGGCCAGACTTAATTTTGCCAGTCTCATGGGGTGAGGTAGTATTTACTTAAGTTGCATTTCTTCAGTTACTAATGAACATACTCTTTGTGAATTGTGTTCATATCTTTTGCTCATTTCTTTTGAGCAAAACATGGTTTCTTGCTGATTTACTAGAGGCCCGGTGCACAAAATTTGTGCAGAAGGGGAGGGTCCCCTCAGCCCTGCCTGCAACCTCTCCAATCCGGGACCCCTTGGGGGATGTCCAACTGCTGGTAGTCAGACATCCTTCTCACAATCCTGGACCGCTGGCTCCTAATGGCTCACCTGCCTGCCTGGTCACACCTAACTGCCCCCTCACCCCCATGCCAGCCTGATCGCCCCTCACTTCCCCCCCTGCCAGCCTAATCGCCCCCAACTGCCCCCCCCTCTGCCGGCCTGGTTGCCCCAACTGCGCCCCTCACCCCCACTGACCTGGCCGCCTCTCAGGGTCGTCCGTGTCCCCATCCCCCCTCCCCCCGTCGGCCTGGTCACCCCTACTGAGGATTGAGTCCAAAACCCCGGCATGTGCCCTGACCGGGAATCAAACCGTGACCTCCTGGTTCATAGGTCAACAGTCAACCACTGAACCACACCAGTTGGGCTATATTATTTTTTGTTATTTGTATACATTGCAAATAATTCTCCAATGTGTGGCTTGTCTCTAACTTGTTTATGGAATCTTTCCTTGAACATGAGCTTTTAATTTTAATGCGATTATCAGTCTCTTGTGCTTTTTTTGTCTTTACTGCTTCAAGGTCATAAAGATAGAATATCTTCTAAGGGTCTTTAAAAGTGTTAATATTTTATATAGGCTTTTAATCTATTTAAAATCTAGTAATTGGATAACCACTTGTGACAGCATGCTATTTTAATAAAAGCGTCATATGCTAATTAGACCGGGCATCCTTCTGGACAACCTTCCAAGCAAAGCTGAGACTGCAAGGGAAGCACAAGTCCCAGGTGCCAGAGGGAAGCCCGTGCCAGCAGCTGGGGGAAGAAAAGCCTACTCTTGCACAAATTTTATGCATCGGGCCTCTAGTTATTAAATAATATCAACACTATCTTAAATCAAGTTTCTGTGTATGAATGGACTACTCTTGTTCTGTGATCTGATGGTTATTTCTCCAATATATAATTTACTGTAGCTTTAAAATATGTTCGCCTACTTTGTTCCTTAAAATTGACTTTGCTGCCTACCTGGTATGTCTCAGTGGTTGAGCATTGACACATGAACCAGGAGGTCATGGTTCGATTCCTGGTCAGGACACATGCTGGGGTTCTGGGCTCAATCCTCAGTAGGGGGCATGTTAGGAAGCAGCGGAGCAATGATTCTATCTCATCATTGATGTTTCTCTCTCCCTCTACCTTCCTCTCTCTGAAATCAATAAAAACATATTTTTAAAATTGATTTTGCTATTCTTTTTTTAAAAATATATTTTATTGATTTTTTACAGAGAGGAAGGGAGAGGGATAGAGAGTTAGAAACATCAATGAGAGAGAGTATTATTGATCAGCTGCCTCCTGCACACCCCCTACTGGGGACATGCCTGCAACCAAGGTACATGCCCTTGACCAGAATCGAACCTGGGACCCTTCAGTCCCCAGGCCGACCTCTATCCAGTGAGCCAAACCAACCAGGGCGATTTTGCTATTCTTGGCACTTTGCTCTTCAATATTAATTTTAAATTTAGTTTGCTAAGTTCCAGGAAAAGCCCTTTGATATCTTGATTAAAGTTGCATTAAATTTTTAGAGTAACTTGAGAAATGCCATCTTCATGATTTTAAGTCTTTCCAGCCATGATCATTACTGTATAATAGCTTTCCAATTACTCACTGTTTTCTTGTGTCTTTTACAAGTGTACTTTGCTTCATAAAGTTCTTACATACCCTTTAACTTTATTCCTAGGTTGCTATTGTTAAAATCGCTGTTGTGAAAGAATTTTTTTATTATTATTAATTTACCACTCAGTTATATGGCATATGGGAATGTGATTGATCTCCTTTTCTTGATATTGATTCTAGCACCTTACTGGACTCTTAATAGTTTGTAGGTTCTCCTGAATTTTGCATGAAATAAATAGAGCAGCTTTATTCCTTTCTTTCCAATTTTCATCTTTTTTTCTATCCTGTGTCATTGAAGTGGAAATCTCTCCCTTTTTTTGTATTTCATATTTTCAAATTGTCTTTAGGTACATGAAAATTTATGATTTTTATTTTTGGTGAATGTGCCTTTCGTTATGCATTGTTTATCTTTATGCTTATTCATGCTTTTTAGTTCTAATTGGTCTTTTGTTAGCATTTTTCCTATTACATGCATCCTATGTTTTTCACTTTAGCCTCTTTTTTGTAGTATTAATTTGAGTATCTATTCTTGTAGCTTGTTTTTTCTTTTACTCCAACAGATAACCTTAGTCTTTTAACATGTCATTTTACACTTTCATAATTGGCTCTAATCAAGCAGAGAGCTTAGTTCTGATCCCTCATTTTGCATTTATAGTCCCCATTGCTTAAGGAGCCAAAATTCCTGGTCATCACTGCCTACTTTAACACCAGATCTAGTAGGCTCATTCGTTTAGCCGTGCATGCTACATTTCTGTATTGTTTCTGGATTTGAGATTTTTCTCTTGTTGTTTTATTCAGTCATGACATATTTACAGCAAAGTGTTTGTATCATAGCATGAACTTACTATGCTACCTTGATGGGAAGTCTTCAGTAGCTTCCTAATTTCTACCTCTTGCTGGCTTTCCCCCTCTAGTACCTTACTACAGGAGCAGATGTTAAGGAAGCAGGCAGAGTTAGAAACAGCACAGTGCCGGCTCCGACTTCAAGTCCTCACTGAGGAATGCACTAAGCTTCATAATCGTGTCAAGGTAAGTTTGCTCTTTCTAATCCAAATAACTTTTGGTATAGGAATTGAAAGGGAATCTAAATATTACTAAGGTTCATCTCAGATAGAAATATGATTTATCAAAATTTTCAGCAAGTAAACATGACCAGCTTTATTTTTGATTAAAGCATTTGTCCAAAGCTTACGTGCTTTATCTTCCAAGATCAGATGAGATCGGGCGCGTTCAGGGTGGTATGGCCGTAGACCAAAGCTTACATGCTTTATGATTAATTCTACTGCAATTTGAATTTTTAAAAAGATTAAACCAGATAATGCAAAACGTAAGTCCTTTCATCTTCCTGCATCTACCAATAAAATGATGTTTTAAACAAAAACAATTTTCAGCCCTATTGTTGTTTATGATTCTGTGCTCTCATTTTTTTCATTTGCTTTTTTCATTTGCTGCAAAAACTACAGCAATTCTCTAGGATTTGTGTTAACATTTTCATATAATGGATAAGAAACCTTCTTATGCCGGGCTGGTGTGGCTCAGTGGTTGAGTGTAGACACAGGAGCTATAAGAGTCATCGGTTCTATTCCTGGTCAGGGCACATGCCCAGGTGGTGGGCTCAATCCCTGGTGGGGAGCGTGCAGGAGGCAGCCAATTGATAATGTTTCTCATCAATGTTTCTGTCTCTATCCCTTTTTCTTCCTCTCTCTCTAAAAATCAATAAGAACATATTTTTAAAAAATTAAAAAGAAACCTCCTTGTATTAGATCAAGGAATTTTGCATAAGGGGAATAACAATCAAAAAAGCTACACGTGGCTCTGGCCAGTTAGCTCAGTTGTTTAGAGCATCATCCCAACACACCAAGGTTTGTGGGTTTGATCCCTTGTCAAGGCACATACTAGAATCAACAAATGAGTGCATGAATAAGAAGTGGAACAACAAATTGATCTCTCTCTCTCATCAATAAAGATTAAAAAAAAATTTTAAAACAATACTAAACAAAAAAGCTTCACATTTATAAAATCTTTTTCATTTTAGGACTTGCAAAAACTTATTCTGCAACATCGGGATCAGATCTTAGTGAGCTCCCAAGGACAATTCCTAAGTGGCTCGCCCTCCAAACTGCCCGAGCACAAGTACTATTTCCAGAAGACCTTCACAGTGTCTGAGAGTGGAAACTGCCGAATTATGACCTACTGTGATGCTCTGAACTGCCTGGTGGTGTCACAACCTTCTCCTCAAGCTACCTTTGTTCCAGGTGAACTGTCTAGAACAGTGGTTCTCAACCTTCTGGCCCTTTAACTACAGTTCCTCATGCTGTGACCCAACCATAAAATTATTTTCGTTGCTACTTCATAACTGTAATGTTGCTACTGTTATGAATCGTAATGTAAATATCTGATATGCAGGATGGTCTTAGGCGACCCCTGTGAAAGGGTTGTTCGACTGCCAAAGGGGTCTCGACCCACAGTTGAGAACCGCTGGTCTAGAACAAACATGTCAAACTTGAGGCCCACAACAAATACTCATTAACAATTACCCATTTATTTCAGCCTTTTGTATTTAGCATGTCTGAAATAAACCTACATTTCTATGAAAATTGAAGCTTTTGCTGTT